CCCAGGCTCGCGGCCCAGGCGGGACCCGCGTCCTGGAAGGGCCTTGGCAGGGTGGCCACGGCGGCGGCAGGGCGGACTCACCGATGTAGCGGTCGCTCTCGTCGCTCTGGCCGCCGATGACCACGCGGCCACAGCCCAGCAGGCCCCGGAGCCGCCGGAAGTGCTTCTCGCTGATGATGCGGCCCAGGCTCGGGGAGCTCTGGGGGTCCTCGCCGTAGAAGCGGGTGATGGCCCTCTGCAGGGCGGGCAGCAGCCGCTCCTGCGTGTCCGGGCTGCACAGGACGTAGTCGGGGGCCACGCAGGTCTGGCCGCTGTTGAAGTAGCGGAACCAGGCCACGCGGTTGGCCACAGTCTGGGGGTCGCAGTCGTCGTCCACGTAGCAGGGGTTCTTGCCCCCCAGCTCCAGCGTGACGGGTGTCAGGTGCTTGGCGGCGGCAGCCATGACGATCCTGCCCACTCGGGGGCTCCCTGGTCGTGGAAAGAAACCAGGGTGACCCTCAGTCCCCTCAGCCAGGTGGGATGGCCTCAGCCTGGGGGCTGGTACCCCTCTAGGGGGGTTCACTCCCTGGCCTGTCCTCCCTGGAGAGGTGGTGGAATTGGAGGGTGCCAGCCCCCCTGGCCCTCCCCTGCCAGTCTCTGCGCCAGGACCTTGCTCACGGCCTCAGCCAGACCAGCCCCAACAATGCAGGGTCTATGTAGGGGTCTGTACCCTGCAGCAAGCCAGGCCCTTGGCTCCCTCTCCTGACCTGCCATGTTAGAAATCCAGGAACCCCTCGCCCTGCTTCTGATCCCAGGCTCCCCTTACCAGTGACTCTTGCTGGCATGTCACTCTGCACCCCTCTCCACCTCTCCAGTCTTCTCTAGAATTGGCAGAGACTGCTCTGGTCCAAGGCCAGAGTCCAGCTCCAGGGACTGCCATTTAGGTCTCTCTGACCTAACCTGGCAGCCCCGCCACCCTCCCCACCCACCCTTCCCTCTGCTCCTGACCCTTGGCTCAAGTGGCCACCTACTGGTCTCCATCTCTCCTCTGGGTTGATCTCCAGGGTCTCACGGTACCCCCCCCATTCCCCTCCCCGACCTAAAGTCCACTGACCTCAAGATGTTCCTGCCCATGCCTGGCCCAGGGTCCCTTGTTGCCATTTCTACTGGGATGGCCCTCTCTGGCCACCACTGCCTGGGAGCCTGATGTCCCAGCTTTCACCTCCTCCAGCTTCCCTGCCTTCCCCCCGGCCCACCCAGCTCCAGGCCCACCCACGTTCCATCACCTGTCCACTCCTCCCTCAGGTCCTCCTGTCTTTCAGAAACATCTTGTCTGTGAGGTCCCCCTTGTCTGTTGAATCCTGCTGTGCTTCCCTACCCGAGTCCCTTCCAAGGGCCCCATTATTCCTGTGCTATTTTCCACTCTCTGTCCCCTGTCCCCCCGTTATAATGTGAGCTCCTCTGGGGTGGGAGGCTTTGTCTCCTTAGCCCTCGCTTTATCCAAGGCTTGGACAGTGTCTGGACAGGGCACGTTCTCTCAGAAAACAGTGAGCGAGTGAGTGGATGCTTCCCCAGGCCACAGGCTGTGACAAAGGCTTCCACGAGTTCACGTGTCCTCAAGACAGACCTGTGACTGTCATCAGATAAGGACAGGTCTGGAGAGTCAGGAGCTTGTCGCAGCATCTGCGCAGGCTGCCCAGGTTCCCGGCCCCAGTCATGGGGGGTCAAGACCCAAAGCCCAAGGAGCTGCTGGGTAGGATGGTGGAAGGTGGGCCGCCCCTCCCCATGTTTCCTCCTGCTCCACCAGCCACTAGGAATCTGGGACCAGCTGAGGACTCTGCCCCCTGCTTCTATAGCAGGCTCCCTGTCAGCCAAGCTGAGGGCCCATGGGCCCTGTCCTGAGCTTGTGGCAGGGTCTCGGGGGGAGAAAGGCAGGGACAGCACTCCCCTTGCTCTGATGTGGACAAGGTGCGCAAGGCACGAGGCCAGGGAGCAGGAAGGCTCAGAAGCTGCTGTCTGCCCTGTCTGCTTTCTCTCTCCTCCAGAACCTCAGCCAGGTAACATGGCTCCCTGCCTCCCCAGCTCTTTCACCCTTATAGAAACTCCCTCCTGAAGCCAGGTGGTGTCTGGGCCTCATGGGCACGAGCCAGGGAGATGGCAGATGACCTCAGAGAAAGCTTCTAACTAAGGGCCTGGGACGCAAATCCAGCCATCCCCCATCCTGGTCCCTGGGGTGACCCCAGCTGGGTGCCGTGGCTCTTTGTTACCTTGGCCTCCAAGCCCTCATCTGTCCAGCCCTCCACAAGGGCCCTGGGTCAGTCGGGTCATGTCTAAGGTCCTGAGGCCAGTGGGTGGTGTATAAGGTCCCGGGGGCACCTGGCACAAGGGGAACTCGGCACAGGCAGATGCTGGGATCCGTGAGACTGTGACCAGTGGCGGGGCCTCCGGAGGGTCCTAGGGGTCAGGGTTGCTCCCCAGCCTGCTCTAGGAGCATCGAGCAAGCTTGTCCTGGAGCCGGTCTGCTTCCTTCCTGGCTGTCTGTGTGCCTGGGTCCCTGTGGCCTCTCTCAGGGTTGGTGACAAGACCCCTGAGGGGTGGCTGGGCTCCACCAGCCCCCATGCTGAGCCCCCCAAGCCCCGCCCGCAGTGGGCACCCTGGCCTCACCCGTGAAGAAGATGTAGTCAAACTTGTGCTCCAGCAGCTGCCCGGTCTCCTGGGGCCCTCCTAGCACCACGGCAAAGCAGCTCTGCAAGACGGGGTGGCAGACGGTTCCCTCTGGGACCCCAGCCTGGGGAACGCAGGGGGCTGCCGTGTGGGTCCGCCCCCCCAGTTGCCTGGCCTGATCCACAGTTTCCGGGGCTCTAGATGAACCAGATGGGAGCAAGGTGGGAGAAGGGAGCTGCCCCGTGTCCCAAAAGGCGTGAGCTTAGAGCCTGGCTGGGGCTGGCGGGGAGAGGAGGCCAGGGCGGGGTGGTCAGGGCTGACCAGAAGACAGATGGGAGTCCCCGGGGACACACTCTTCAGAGCACAGCTGTGATCACTGCCCCACTGTTTCACTCAGAGGGGAAGAGTCTGAGGGGGCAGCGACCCCGCCATGGCCGCACAATCCAGACGAGGCAGGATGGAGGTTGGAACTTGGGTCCTGCCCAAGGGGGCCTGCCTGGTCCTGCTGAGCCCAAGTGTAGCTGCTCAGCCCGCTCCGTGCCCTGCTCACCTGGTCCAGATATCGGGGCAGCACCTCAGCCAGGATCTTCTCGGTGCTCCTGCTGAACTCCGATGGCTTCAGCACCACGCAGTTCCCTGCAGGGCAGGGCAGGGCAGGGCAGGGCAGGGGCAGCGCTGGGAGAGAGGGGTGGCCCCTCCCATCTCCATTCAGTCCTTACACCTGCAGGGCGGGTGCCTGGCCCACTCTGCTCTCAGGTGAAGAATCTGGCTCAGAGACTGACAGGACCAAGGCCCCACTGCCCAGGGATGGTGGGCCAGGCAAGAACCAGCTTTTCTTAGTCACTCATCACCAGCTCCCCACTCCCTGGCTCTATGGGCCACCATGAGGCCTGAGGATGGGGACAGCGGGCAGAGGGAAGGTGGAAACTGCTCTCACCTGCAGCGAGGGCGCCCACCAGGGGCACCAAGGTCAAGTTCACGGGGTAGTTCCAGGGGGCAATGATGAGCACCAGGCCGAAGGGCTCTTTCCGGATGAAGGCTGAGTCCAGCTGCGTGGCCTGGGCCCCGGGGCCACCGTGGTGGTGAGTGGTGGGGCCTTGAGACTCCCAGCCCCTCCGCGCCACCCTCCAGCTGGCGAGGCTGCCCGCGCGCCCTCACCCCCCAGGCCAGCTCACCAGATTCTTGGGCACTTTCTCATCCTTCATCCAGGCCCTCAGATTCCTGAGGGCCAAGTCAATCTCGTTCTGGCTGATTCCGATCTCAGACACCTCCGCCTCGAAGGCTGACTGCAGGGGAGAGACAGGGGCAGGGTTCGGGCTGGGGGACCGCGGTCGTGGCCTCTCACTTGCTCCTTCATTCATTCACTCCGGGTTCAGTGAGTGCTTCCAGCGCTCAGGAGCCCTTCCTGTGCCAGGAACGCAGCAGTGACTGAGAGCGCGGAGAGCCTGCCCTGCAGAGCTGACGCCGTAGGGGGACAGCCGCCATGATGCTGAGAACACGGACGTGACCAGAGCAATGGAAGTGAAACGGGGAGGGGGACAGAGACTGCTGGAGTGTGTGCGTGTGTATGCGTGTGCGTGTGCGCATGCGTGTGTGTCGGGGGGCTGCTCACGCTCATGCGCATGTGAGTGCAGGGGCATGCATCAGTGCGTGAGTGTGCGCCTCTGTGTGCATGTGTGTGTGTTTGCTTTGCTTTCTACAAGATTATCAGTGCTTGCCTCTGGGATGAGGTGACATCTGAGCAGTGAGGATCGGGAGGGAGGGAGCCGACGGATACCTGGAGGCAGAATATTCCAGACAAAGGGCATAGTGTGTGCAAAGGCTCTGAGGTGGGCAAAGGCTTGCTATGTTCCTGGTTAGCAAGGAGCAGAGCGGGTAAGGTGATGGCACCAGGCGGCAGGGGTGAGGACTGTCGAGGAGAGCACCCTGGTTTCATAAATGGGAAAACAGATGATTCCAGAAACGGCTGACAAGGAAGCCTGGGCCTCACCTGGCTACAGTCCCGGGGCATCATGGTTAAGAGCAGGTTTGGAGACACCGAGAAAGGGAGCAGGCATCCCCAGGAAGCCAAGCCCTCAAGATAAGTCCTTGTAGCCCTACTTTGCTGTCCCCAAGGGATGACCCTGGATGCCATGAGGCACGAGTCTCAAAGTCTATGACTGTTCTGGGGACAGGGCGGACACTTGGTGGGGTGCCTGTGAGTCTGGAGGGTCCCAAGGAAGCTACTGAGGGCCCCTGACTCTGCTGGCCCCGGGGTCTCCCTCAGCCCACTGGAAGGGTGGGACCTCACCGCTTGGAAAGGAGCCACGGGCCCGGCCCTGAGGGGGCTGGTGGAACACAGGGGGTGGGTCTGGACACTGTGGCCTTAGTGGCAAGTGCAGAGGACATTTTGTCCTGAGAAGAACCCCCTGGACAGCTGTTCTGGGGCAGGAGTAGTCAAGCATGAGGCCCTGTCGGCTGAGGGGGCGGGAGGCTGCCCGCAAGCAAATGCATTGCCGTGGCTGCTGTGGGAATTGGTAGGAGCCGAGGCCTCGGGCTTGCGGGTTTGGAGAGAGGCCAATGACGCCCACCTTTCTGAGTGAAACTGAACTCACCCATGGCCTACAAGGCGATACATGGTGTGATCTGCCTCCCTGGACCTCATCTTTTGTACATCTCGGCGTCTCTCACTCCCCTCCAGGTATGCTGGCCTCTTTGCTGCTCCTCAAGCACAAGGGCCTCCTGCCTCAGGGCCTTTGCACATGCTGTGCCCACCGCCATTTCCTCCAGTGTTCTCCCTCCTGCAGGTCTCTGCTCAAATGCCATCTCCTCAGAGAAACTGCCCCTGACTCCCACCTCTACAACAGCGCCCTGCTCCGGGTCCTCCCTCTCGCCCCTTTCACACTGGGAATGTCTCTCCATGGCACTTGAAACCACCCAACATGCTATACAATTAGTTCTTTATTGTTTTGTGCCTCTCTCCAGAAGGCCAGCTCCTGGGCACAGGGGCTTTGTTTTACTTTCTGTTGTATCCCCAGAGCCTAGAACGGGAGACCCGGCACATGGTAGGTAGGTGCTCAGTAAAACGTTGCTGAGTGGATGAGAAATGCGTGGATGGACGTGTGCAGAGGAGGTGAAGAGGCGGTCAGGGCACAGGGAAGGGGGTGGGATTTGCCGGGCGCTTAGTCCCCCCTCAAGGAGGAAGCTGCAGCCCCCATCCCGCATGCCCCCCGCCCCTGCCTCCCCAGCCCTGCCCTCCTTCCGCCCACCTTGTGCATGTCCTGCATCAGCGCCTCCTGCAGAAGCTGCTTGTTGTCCCGCAGGAAGCGGCCCAGGCTCTTGAGCTGCGCCGCCCGGAACTCAGCGGGCCTCGTCCGCCCTGAGCCAAAGGCCTCCCGCAGCCGCCGCAGGGTGTCCGCGAAGGGGTCCATCCTGCAGGGAGGGGGCAGCGTGGGCCGGGGCTCTCCACTTTCATGGGCATTCTCCCCACGCCCCTGGCTGTACCTCTATGGGCTCACGGACACTTCTACAAGGACTCGCGTGTAACCCCAGAGGGCCGGGGCTGCACCCCGTGCACACGCGTACACACACACACACACACAGTCCCTTCCCCTTGGCCAGTGGGCAGGAGAGCCCTGGAGTCTGCGGTGGGTGCAGGACAGTGCGGGGGGCTTGGGAGCAGCTACTCCACAAGCAGCCACGGGACCTCTCTTCTCCCTGCCACACAGAAATTAGCCCCGAGCCATGCCCCCATCCCACTCTGGCGCCCCTCCTGGAGATGGGGCAGTCCTCATCCTTGCCAGGCCTGCGCGGAATAACCAGGAAGAGATGATAAGTAGAGGACAGTCCACTAACAGCCACCATGGCCACCACGGTGGGACAATCCAGGCACAGAATACAGTGTCTCCTGCCCGTCTCCCGGGGGCACTGCCTGGGGAGGCCCGGCTGGCCCGTGGCGGCTCAGGGGGCCGGGTGACCTGGGCAGTGGCCTCCGCGGCCTATGCCCCGTCAGCGGCCCCAGCGTTGGAAGAGCAGGGAACAGTGGGGGGCAGGGGCTGAGGGGGCAGTGATGCTTCCATGCTGTCAGCAGCCAGGGCAGGAGATCTGGGTGCGGCCCCCACATTCCCCCGGGCCCCCACCTGTTTACTTGAAGCTCATCAGAGGAGCAGGGCGACATACTCGCTTCTTGGCCTGGTGCCAAGGACCCGTGGGGACCCTTTCCTCCTGCCCTCTCAGACTGCCTCTCCTTCAGGTCTCGGCTTGGTGAACGCCTCCTCTAGGCAGCCCGCCCTGATTATTCCCTCTCACGGGGAGAGGGTTTCATCCTCTCTCCCACTGGCCCCTCTTGGCCTAACTACCTGAGTCGGGTCCTAGTGCCTTGATCTCCTTATCTGGCAGGGGGGTAACAATAATGCCCACCAGCTGACAAGCTGTTTTTCAAAGATGAGACCATGCTGTCCAGTTCTGAGCACAGGGCTGCGCATCAACATGGCCAAGGCTGCCAGTTGTTAAGTGGCTACCCCACAGCCCTCAGAATTCTGGAGTGATCCATGGCCCTGAGAGCTGAGCCTGCTCCAGCCAATCAGATGGCCCGGCCCGAAGGGCACTCTGCTGGCTGGAGCTCTCGGCATGATGGGGGGCCAGGCTGACCCCACAGGCCTCCTGCTCTGGTCAGGAGAAACAGAGCAGTTGCCTGGGGGCACAAGGCAGGCCCCATGGGCCCCAGCCTTGCCCCAGACCCCACCCTCCTTCTTGGCGGAAGGGGAGCTGCTCAGTGCCGAGGCCCAGGAGCCAAGAGCCCTACCGGCCTCCAGAGCTGCCATCTGGGCTTGTCCCCCGGCTCGGCCTCCTACTGGCCTTATGACCTCGGGCAGGTCACTCATCTCTCTGCCTCAATTTCCTTGTCTGTAGAGTGAGGATAATAGCACTTGCCATCGTCCAGACGAGTAAATGACATAAGGCCCCCTAAAGTGTTGGCCACTGCGCACATGATACGGGGCTCGAGAAAGGTCAGCTGCGGTTGTGATCACTAAGTACCTAACAAGTGTTTCTTCCTCCCCACCCGCCGCCACTCCTTGTTCTGTCTCGCGGGCACCTCCGGACCCCTGCTGATGGATGTGGAGGGCAAAGCACACCCACTTCACCTGCCCCCGCAGGGTTCTTTGCCTTTTCATAAGAAATGTCTGCAGAGGAAAAAAAAAATGTCTGCAGAGGGATGCCTGGGTGGCTCAGTCGTTAAGCGTCTGCCTTCAGCTCAGGTCATGATCCCAGGGTCCTGGGATCGAGTCCCGCATCGGGCTCCCTGCTCAGTGGGGAGCCTGCTTCTCCCTCTCCCACTCCCCCTGCTTGTGTTCTCTCTCTCGCTGTGTCTCTCTCTGTCAAATAAATAAAAAATCTTAAAAAAAAAAAAAAAGAAATGTTTGCAGAACCCACAAAAATGTAAGGCACGTAACTGGAATGGCACACCTCTGGGCGAGGGAGGGGTGGGGAACTCTGTGGGGGTGCAGGCCCGGACAGAACATTCCAGCAGCCTCGCCTAGCAACACTGAGGCCAACTCACCCCATATTGCGCCCCCCCAGGTTGGTCACTGGACTGAGGGACCAAGAGGTGCCTGTTACGGGATCGGAAGCTGGGCACTGCCCAGGTGTGTCCAGGAGCCCAGGCCACCTCCTGCCTGGGGTCTGGAGGGGGGGCGGCTGGGCCTGTGACCTCACAAAGGATACACAGATGAGGGGTTTCCTGGATGGGCCTGCGCCGGGGTCTTTGAGCGCACCTCCACCCCCCAACCCCGCACCCCCGGGGTACATGTGATACTGGGAAACTCGTAAGGATGTTGAGTGACATTTCCTGTGCCTGCATGACTCATTTGACCACCACAACAGCCTGCCTAGGGCACCGTCTTGTCCCCTGCAAGGAGAGGGACACCTCGGCACAGAGAGGGCAAGGAGGTAGCCCAAGACCACCCAGCTTCTCTACACTGGAAACCCGGATGCAGAGGAATCCGGAGGAACAGAGGGCTGCCCACCTCCACTCTTCATGCCCCTACGTGGCAGCCTGACCCCTTGGGAGAGGGGACCCCTTGGGGTCTGGCCTGAACTGCAGATGCAGGGCCCGTGGGCAGGGGCGTGGGGCTGGACTCGGGCGGTGCCCTCGAGGGTGAGAAGACACACTGGTTGTACCCCGCTCTCTGCCTCTGTCTCTTCACTATTCCCATCAGTCCCCACCCTGCTTCCCCTTGTGGCCTCCTCGGGCTGAGTGCTGAGAGGTCCCAGGGACTGGCGGGCCCAGGGGTCCCCTGCCTGCTAAGGGGGCCCCAGCTTCAACCGCCTGCTGCACTGCACCTATTCCTGACCTTCGGCTCTTGGGTGAGGTGGGTGGGGTGGGAGTTGCTAAGTCAGTTGATGATGACAAGGGACAGGCCTGTTTCCCTTGGTTTGGAGGCCAGGGGAGGACATGCCACATCCCCTCAAGGCCCTGGGCCTGGGGACTCCTCTAATCATCATAATGAGCAGGTGTTGCACGGCGCCCCTGGGGGAAGCTGAGGCCCACACAGGTCGCATGGCGTCAGGGAGGGGGTGAGTAAGCTGGGCACGCAGGTCTGCTGGGAATCTACTGCCCCCACCCCAGCCCTGCATGGTGGCCAGGCCTGCTGATGAGCTCTCCATGGCGCAGGATCCCCCCCTTCTCCCCACCCAGCCTCCGCACACTCTGTCATTCTCTC